GCTCCAGGACCCAATTGAACCCCCTTATCCTGCACCAACACCCCCCCGAACCCCCTTTCCCAGCCATCCCACCTCTCCCAAACCCCCCTTTTCCTTGACCCTGAGATGCCCTGGACCCCAATTCCTGCCTTTCCCAGATTCCAGGGGATCCCAGATCCCTCTTTCCTCAACACTGGAGACCCCTGGACCCCCCCTTCCTGGGCACAGGGACCCCCTGAATCTCCATTTCCGGGCACCAGGAGCCCCCTGCACCCTCTCCCTACATACCAGGACCTCCTTAAATCTTCTTATGAGGCACCAGAACCCCCCAGTTTCCATTCCTGGGCAAAGAAGCATCAGCCTTGCAGAAAAATGACGGGTGATCTCCAGGCAGAGCCACACCTCGAGTTAATCTTTACCGTTTCTTTCTCCGTTTCAGTTTCACTGTTCAAAGTTAATCCCTGAAGGAACAGGGCACAGTTCACCTTTGATCAAGAGAATGGAGGCATGGGGATCGTTCTCACCTGACAAAAAGTAAAGTCCAGCTCTGATTCGGCACACTCTGTGGGCACTGAGCAGGATCTCTGCTTGTCTTAAACCTCTCCATAACATCGAAGCTCCGTTTGCACCTGATTGCCTACAACGCCAACACAGAGCCCTCATGTGGCAGAGGAGATGTGACCTTCTGGCAGCCAAGTGACTTTGGAGCCGAGAAACACTGCACTGAAAATTCAGACCCTGATTCTTCTCTTCATTTCCCTTCCCTTCTGCAGGTGGAAATTTCTCTGGCAAGAGGAAAAATAGCTGTCCTGTGTCAGTGCTCACCTTTGCTGACTCAGGCAGGTAAGCGGGGGTCTTCTATTTCTCTCTCTCCTGAACAGGTGGTGAAGGTGCTGCTGCTGTTGGGTGGAAAGGAACCACTCCCTTCCCTTCATCCCAGCTGTGCACACAGGGCCCAGCAAGCTCTTCTCGTGCCCCAGGTCTCCTCAGGTGCAGGGGACAGGGAACTGGGGGCAGCAGCAGCAGCACGAGTGGTCCCAGGAGCACTCAGAGGGGAGGGAAAAGTGACAGGGAATCTGGGGGAATCTGGGGAGAAGCTGAGATATGGAGTGGCCATCTGGGTGTGGTGTTTGTTTCCCCGGGGATGGTTGTGCTGCCTTTGGTCCAGAGCTGGCTGTGCTGTCCCGGAATGACTCAGAAGGGGAGGCTGCAGAGCAGGAGAGAAGGGCAGTATTCCCCCTCTGGAAAGGGCTGTTGGGCCCAGGGACCCCCTGGGGGCAGGGCCTTGAGGCAAAGCAGGGCTGCAGATAACACTGGAACCTTCTTCTCAACAAGCAAGGCTGGTTCCAGCTGTGCCCACTTGGAACCCTTTCCTGCTGGAAGCTGAAACAGTAGGAAACTGCCTCAGTTTAATGGGAATTTGGGATGATGATGGTAACTCTCAGAGCACTCAAGGCTCAGTTGCATCTGCAGAAATGTTAATAAGCCTAAAATGTTTTGATGAGTACCTTGAAAGCTTGAAGTTGTCAGTTCTTAAGCAGCAAACCTCAGGTGACCACGGCATTGCCTTGGTTTACCGATTAAACCATTATTCTTATAACTGTGGAGGATTCAATGATCTTTGTGGATCTTGTATTTGTTGCACAGTCAATGTCAACCCAACTCCATTTTCTCCCCTTCTGGTGTAAATATCTGACTCATAGTATCTGAAACAACCCCTGAGACCTCTTTTTGGATGACTGAGGAGCAGCACTCTCATCTCTGAGAAAGATTAACCCCTTTTTCCCTTATCAGACCCACAAATCAATGCCTCCCACAACATTTCATACAGTCTCATGTGATAATGGACTGCAAAGAAAAACCCTTAGTGCATGTCCAAGACCATGAAAACTCCTGGACAGTCGAAGCTCCAGAATTTAACAGGAGAGTTTCCAAAGTTTAGTGCCAGTTGCAGTCTGGCATTCAATGCCCTGAACTGCCTGTGGGATTTATGGACGTGTGGGCAGTGTGGTTGGTGGAACTGAGGCTGTGGTCATGTCACCACAAGACCTGTGGCTTGTTGAGTGATGTGAGACTGTCTTGGTTTAAGCCCAGATGACCACCAAGTACCACAGAGCTGCTCACTCACCCCCTGGCCCCTGGCACCCCCTGGGTGGGGTGGAGGATTGGAAAGAAATGGTAAACCTTGTGGGTTAAGAAAATAAAAGCTCAGTAATTGAAAGAAAGTAACAAAAAAAATTAAATATAATAAAAAGAACATTTGTAGTTAAAAGGAGAGAGAGAGAAGGAGAGGGAGAGGAAGGAATAAAACCCAAGTGATGCCCAATTCAATTGCTCACCACCCACTGACTGATGCCCAGCCTGTCCCCTAGCAGAGATCAGTCCCTTTCGAGCCAACTCCCCCCAGTTTATACACTGGGAATGCTGCTCCATGGTCTGGAACATCCCTCTGGCCAGTTCAGGTTACCTGTTCTGGCTGTGCTCCCTCCTGGCTTCTGGTGCCAGCTCCTCACAGGCAGAGCAAGAGACACTGAAAAGTCCTTGAGTTAGGCTGAGTACAACTGAGCCACAACCAAAACAGCAGTGTGTTATCAGCATTATTCTCATCCTGAATCCAAAACACTGCCCTGCACCAGCTACAAGGAAAAAAAAATAATATCTCTATCCTGTCCAAAACCAGAATAGAGACCTCTGAGTGCCTGTTTATCTCCATGTGCCAGAAACAGAGCTGAGATCAACTAACTCAGAGGAAAAAGCCTCTCCTCTGGAGATCAGAGTGGAGACAAATTCCCATCCTAGTGATCTGTGGTGAATTGGATGAAATCTCTCCAGGAATCCATGTCCCTCCTTAGCAAGTGAAGAGGGACAATTTCTGATTAAAACCAGGTGAATTGGACACTTCCCCTGTCACTCCACGTGTGCTTACCCAGCTGGCCAAACATGCCAGGACATCCCAGGACAAGAATTAATCCAGAAGAAGGTGTTACTGATGTCTGCCTTGATCCACCACCAGGCCTGTTCCAACTGCATCTGATCTAGTCCCATCAGATGTAGCTGTGAGACCTTCTGGCCACCTTGTCTGGGAAGTAGGGATGTATCCAGAACTGCAGTGCAGAGTGAGTAACTCTTGCTTGCAAACCATCAGGAAATCTCACCTTCCCCACTGCTCACTAACCGTGGAAAATTGAACACTAATCAAGTAATAAAGACACCAAACCCAAAGTGTTGCTGTGGGGACTGAGATAAGGACTGTCAATCCCGCCTTGGAAATGCCAAAGTGCACGGAGAGAGCCAGAGCCGGAGCAGGGCAGGATCTTTAGTGCAGTGCAGCCAAGCCGAGCCTGATGCAGCTCCCTAAATGATTCCAGGTTTGTGCTGGAGCTGATGCACTGTCACTCTGCAGCCTGGGGGTTCCCAGGGAGCGGGAACTTCGGGATAGCCAACCCCATGGATTCCCCATCTCCAAGCATAGGCCTGAGGGGGGGAAACTGTGTCTTCCTCCTTTTCACCTCCATCTCAGAGGTGACACTCATGCAACCCACACCAGAGATTTAAACTGGTGTGTTAATTAAGGTGTCCATCAAGTTTCACAGCAGCCAGTGGGGGCTGGGTTGAATTTTCTTCTCTTGCATCCCCTGTCACAACTTCCTGGGAGAATGTTGGACTGACAGAAATTCCCAAAAGCTGTAAAGGTAATCGAGATCTCTGGAAAGGCACAAGTTCTCTTGATGTCTGAACTCAATGGTTTGAGTGCTTTGCCCCTTCAGAAGTGGCAGCTGATGGCAAGTGCCAGGTGAGAAACATCAGAGGGCTTTGGGACAGCATTTTCCTTCTTTGTGCACTTCCCTTCTGTGCCTTTTCCAGGTCAGCTGAGGGATTGTCCCACCTCTGTGACTGCAGGGATGGACCAGAGGAGATGGCTCCTGTTGGCTCTGGCACTGCTCCCGGCCAGCCCTCTCTCAGGTAACAATTCCATGTGCTGCTCTGCTCCTGCCTGGGGGATTCCACTCTGCAGAGGAGCAAAGTGCCCTGGTGGAGGTGGGGAAGGCCTGAGCCAGGGCAGCTCTGCCATGTCCAGCCCTGCCCCAGCGCCCAGAGCATTGCCCTGCCTGCACGGGCAGTTTGCATCGGCACTGCTGCTTGTGGCACAGGGCTGCCAAGGGGCAGGGCAGGCTGGGAAGCTGCAGGAAATGGGCTCTGGACATGTTCTGTGCTTTTTTTAATTTTCCAAAAAATAGTCCCATGCTGTACAGCTTCTATCAACCTGAAATCTCCCTCCACTCTAGTACTTTATGCTTTCCAACTTCTGCAGTTCCCATTTTACCTCAAAAAAAAAAAAAAAAAAAAAGAACAAAGGGAGAAAGTGAATGTTTTAAACCAAAATTAATTTCTATTTTATATATGTATATATATATATATATATATATATATATATATATATATATATATAAAAAGTCTGAACCATTTTCATCAAATCATTAGTTCTGTTTTTCTAGGTTTTTCAAAACAGAATTTCCCCCAAAGGTCTGGTGGATTTGGTTTAGTTTGTTTTTTTCCTCATGTTTGCATTTTTCTATGATGCCCTGTGGTCTCGTGATCTGCAGATGCGTTAACAAAAGAGAGCAGTATCTTTAGTGAACATTTGCAGATTTCAATTTTTCCCCATTCTCCTCAACAGGCAAAAATGTCTGTCCCAGTCCCCTGTGTCCTTCACATCAGTACATTCTCTGGTTGATTCCAGCCTGATGCCAAAAAACCTTGGAATGTGAACTGCTCAGAGACTTTTTTTTATCTGCAAGCAGCGAGGGATTTGTTTATTCAACGCTGGGAGCAAGCCAGCTCACACTGGACAAACTTGCTCAGCTTGAAAGTGCAAAACCAAGACATCTGATACACTTTAGACATGTGGTTACATCATCTAACATACATATTTATAAGTAGGCTACTCTCTGGGAAGAGTCTTTCCAGACATGCGTTGTCTTCTACTGTGGGGGTCTTCTCCTCAAGCCTTCATCCCTCTGCTGGTCACCATGGACGTGTCTTCCTCAATTTGACCTCCTCCATTAGGTGACCTGAATTCTTCAAGCTTGCAAAATTCTGGTTCTGGGCCTCCTGTCTCTTATTCAAACGTCTTGTTTACCTACTTTATTCCCTTGTGTGCACTACTGCTATTCTTTCTGTAATAAGGACTTTGATCTGGTGAGTAGAAGAGAACATGGTATCAGCCAGTGCTTCTAAAATATTCTTCCAGCAGAACAGGTAGAGCAAACAGGACAAGCTCTACCACCTGAACTGCTGTCAACTCTTTTTTGTGCCTTTTTGCCCTCAGCCAAGTGCTCACTCACCTTTCATTTCCCCAGAAAATTTCCAGATCACCTCTCCACAAACTGTGATGGGGATTATAGGCCAGGATACAATCCTTCCTTGCACCATCTCTTCCACAAAGCCACTGGATAACCCGGAAGTGCAATGGAGGAAAATCACAGACTGGCACACAGAGAACATCTACACATATAGACAGTCTGGTGGTGAACCAGTGCAGAAATACCATGGGAGGACATCAATGCCAGAAGATGGATTTGCCACTGGGAACATGTCTTTGACATTAAAGAATGTTCAGCCAGCAGATGAAGGAATCTATGGTTGCCTTGTGATATCCATAGGCTGGAGCGCTGACACATCCACCGAGCTCAGCGTTGCAGGTTGGAGACTCCCTGGGCTGGGAGGGGAAGGGGGGAAGCTCTTCCAGAGGGAAGAGAGCTCTCTGAAAGGTCACTGACCCCCAGCTGATGCCACTCACACGACCCAACACGTCACCTCCCACTCACAGCACCCCTTGGGCCACGAGGCTCCTGCCTTTTGATCCATGGGACACTTGATTTCTGAGTCACTGAGGGGTCTGTAAGGAGCCAAGAAAATTCAACCCATGTGCCATCACCCAGGAGGGCAGTGGAGGAACTGGTGATCTGACCAGCCCATGAGGGCCATGGCAGCCCTGGCAGCTTTAGGCAAGAAGGAAGGAGCTTTAAAGCTGAATGTTCTAGGAGACACAGAGCCTGCAGTGCCTGTGGGAAGGCAGCTGCCTTGTGTGGGGAAATGGAGCAGGCAGGAACAGCTTGGTAAAGCTGCAAAGAGACTGGGGCTGAGTTCCTGTGCCCAGAGATGTGCAAGCTCCATGCCCAGCCTGAGCCTTGTTGTGAGCCATGTGGGGTTGGAGAGCTGCAGCAATCCCTACTGGGGAGGTGTGAGCCCAGCTGGGGGACAGACAAGTGCTCAGCATCCCTGGCTGTGGGACGATAGGAATGGGTGCCTTCCCTCTGGAGACTCCTCAGCTGGGCTAAGGAGATGTTCTGGGCTGTCAGTTCCCTCCAGCTGAACAGTTGGCATCGTTTGTGTTCAGGGATTGATGATGTCAGATGGAGCTGGTCAGCCTGGAGTCACTGAGCAAAAACAGCACAGAATCATGGAATGACTGGTGTTGGAAGGGGGGCCTTAAAGATCAACTTGTTCCAAACACCTCTCAATGGGCAGGGGTGCCACCCAGAAGAACAGGTTTGCTCCAAGCTCTGTCCAACCGGGCCTTGAACCCTTCCAGGGATCCAGGGGCAGCCACAGCTTCTCTGGGCAAACTGTGCCAGGGTCTCCCCACCCTCTGAGTAAAGAATTCCTTCCAAACATTTAATATAAATCCCCTCATCCGAAAGTAGATAAGAGAGTCTTTTGGGATAGGAGAGGCAAAAAGCTTCCAGCCAGGGCCCATTTCCTGCTATTGCCCAGGACAAATTCCTATGAAATCCAGCTATGACCCAGCAGTAGGACTCAGAACAGTGTGTGGTGCATCCCCCCTCACCACACTGGCACAGCTTTGGTGCAGTCTCTGGGCAGTGACCATCTGTGCCCACCTGTAGTGCTGGCATGGACTGGGGAGGTGCCAGGGAAAAGCTAAATGGCCTTTAGTGCCATTTTGTGCTGCTTTGCCAAACCTCAAACTCGGACCAGCCTCCTACAGATTCATTGTAAAAGAGGGATACAAATCACCTTCTTCCTGCCTGCTCCATGGAATGATGGGGAGCTGAGAGACAAACCCCTCCCACACTGGAGCTCTTTCTCAGCCAAAGGAAATTTGGCATTTATGGCAGATGGAGTGGGGGATCTCAGAACGACCATTGCAAAGGTTGGGTTGAGGACTGAGAGGAACTGGGAGGACACTCAGGAAAAAGCAAGAGCTATGAATCCAAGGTAGAGCTGGTTCCATGCAAACACATTTTTCCCACTCACAAAATTTCTTGCCTTTAAGGTATCGGGGAAGTGTTCCTTGAACTTCTGGGCCCCCAAGGGCAAGGGCTGGAGATTGGCTGCAGATCACACGGATGGTTCCCTGAGCCAACTGTCCAGTGGGTGACTGAGGATGGGCAGGATCTGTCTGCAAGCACTGAAATACAGCAGGACAGCAGGAAGCTCTTCAGTGTGTGGAGTCGAGTCACGGTTACAGGAGAGGAAGTGGGAAAAGTCACCTGTCAAGTCCTGAACCCCCTGGTGCAGATGGAGAAGAAAACTGCTGTGCGCCTCTCAGGTGAGTCCCATCGTCCTGAGAAGCCTTTGCTGGAGGCTCAGTGTCTCAAGAGTCCTGGAAGGCCCTCTCCAGTGCCAGCGAAGATAGCTCTCCAGCGCAGCAAGATCCCAGAGCAGCCTGGGGCTCTGCAGGCAGGACAGGTTGCAGTGAGAAAGGAGCAGGGTCCCTCTTGCCCCAGCTGCACATCCCTAGAAAAGGCAGGTTCTACCCACCCATGTAGGGCTGAGACTATTTTCCCCTTCGTCTCCACAGGAACTCTTTGGGTGGGTGCTCATATTTTGGGGAAAAGATTGAATATTGCCACTGATGACACTCAGATTTTTTCTTTCAAAGGTGCTGCTTTTCCCCATGTGTCTCCATTTGTCCCTGCCTTCTGGACAGTACTCACTGTATTCCTTCTCACATTGGCTGCTGGTGCTGTTCTGGTATTTCAAGGTAAGGGATCATTTCTCACCCCCCTGTGAGACTGGTCTGACAAGAAGGAGGAAATACCAAGTGGAGTCTGGCTCTGGCTCACAGAACTGGGAGACCTTCCTCACCCTGAGCATTCCTGCAGGTAGGAATGCTTCTGTTAGAGAGGCAGAAGAGAGATACCTCCAAATGCAGCTGAGAGCCTGGTTGGACCATGGTATCTACAGGCAAGATGGGGAGAGAGGATGAGACTGGTGGATTACCAGTGCTGAATGAAGAGGGTCCCTTCCTCTGCCTCCATTGGCCTCATCCTCCCAAGCCTTCAGTGGGTCTTGTTCATCAAAGCTGGACCTTTTTTGCCAAAATTGTCAGTGGTACCTCCCACCTTGGAAAGATCTCCAGAGATCTTTGCCTCTGCAGCCATGACTGGGCAGAGGTCTCGTTTCCCTAGGCCAGTGCCAGGTGCTCCAGCTCTGTGGTGCTGGAGGGCACAGCCATGCTCAGCCCTTCCTGGGGTGCCTCTGCGCACGTGGCTTTCCTGCCTGGGTGGGAGTTGGAGCAGGGCCCTGCCAAGCCTGGACAACCTGTGTCAGACTGTCCTGGCTCAGGGCCCAAACCAGCACCAGGAAACCACTGCTCCTGACAAGGCAGGACTGGCACTTCCCCAGCAGCTCTCCTGAGCTCACACACTCACAGCTTCTGAGATCTGTGCATGGACCTTCCTCTGGACCTGGAGAGGTCCCACAAGGGCTGACAAAGGCCCAGGGAAGGAGCCCCATGAGCACAGAAGGGAAGGAAGAACGGCAGGTCATGAAGCCGTGGTAGGTGGGAGCTGTGACAGACACCTCTGGGCACTGGCAGAGCCCACTTGACCAGGCTGTGTCGGCAACCTTGGCAGAGGCTCCTGGTGGCATTTGGACTGTTCCCTTACCTGGCCCTCTCCCCACCCCACAGGTTGCCCTGCCAAAGGCCCCCAGCAAGTGTTTTGTCCCAGCCAGCATCCCCATGCAGATGTCCCAGTGTACATGGGGCTGGAAGGAGGATGCCCAGAGAAACAGTGTGCCAGGCCAGGCCAGGCCAGGGGCTGTGCCAGGGGAGACTGGGACAGGCTGGAGTGTACTCTGTCCCATCCTCCCTGGGATGTCAGGCAAGCTCTTTTCCTGCAGCTGTGCCTTTGGGTGCCCTGTTTGCAGGGACATGCCCTTCCCTGGGGAAGGCTTGTGGATGGCTGTACCCAAAGTCCTGTTGTACAGCCAGGCTTTTTCCCAGAAAACTGTGGGTTTTTAGTTTTAAGAAGTGTCTGCTCCCGCCAGTTCTTCCCATTCTCTTTGCCACAAGGGCTCAGGCCCTGGGCAAGCCCTGCTCCCCTTCCCCTGGTTCAGGAGCACTCAATCAGCCTGACAAGTGTCTCCAGGAGTAATTGGGGCAGGAAAGTTCCTTCTTTCCTCAGAGATCCTTTTCTATGAGAGCCCATCTCCTCTTTAGCCCATGGTGTGGCCATTCCTCTGGCCTCTCTTTCCTGTCTGAAAAGGAAGGAGAGGCCCAGCTTGTCTCAAAACAGCTTTTAGTCTTTCCTGGGCTTCAGAGGGAGCACGCTAGAGGCATGTGCCCCATGTCTGGAAAACAAAAGTATCACATGCCCTGATCGACTGTTTTCTCTGGAAGACTGACAAAATGAGAGTAGAACTGGTTATTAATATGTGAGAGGTTAAGGTTTGAGGATTGCTGGAAAAACGTATTCAAAGCAATACCCAGACAAGCTCTAATCCTCAATGAAAGCTCAAGATAATCATTCTATGTGCACAGTGTGGTTCTTACCCAATCAATGTGCCTGTCAAGAAAGGCAGGGTCAGCCCTTTGACTTGATTCCAAGTGTTATGATGGAGTCTTTCCTGACTTTTCCCCAATCTTGACTCACTTTCTTACTACTGCTTTACATTCAGGTGGAGCTTCAGTGACTCCAGTCATACGTAACGTTGGTACTGATTGGTGTACTGATTGTCTCCCTTCACTCTCAGTGATATAGTCAATAAAGTGTGCACAGAGTGCATGCTTTGTGAGGGTTGCTCATACCTTGGAGACAGGTAACTCTGGGGTGGAGGTCTTTGTTAGCATTACAGTGAGGTGATAATGAACCAAGTTCATTTGAGCAGACCGATTTTGCCCCAGCTGCTGGTTCAGCAGCAAGACATCTTCTCCTCTTTCCCTTGGTTGAGGTTTATTAGCTACAAGGCAACACCGAGTTCCACCCCCCGCAGGTATTCCAGCAGGAATCCAGGGTCTCCATTGCACTACACCCTCCGTTTCCCTCTCTTTAGCATGTGCTTAAGGTTCCAGGTTATGCCTGTGGAGTCATTGTGGAAGAGGTTTCGGCCATGCTGAGCACAATCCATCCAGGGAGGAAGAGTTGCATTTCACTCTACAATTCCTGTGCTGTTATAACTTGACTGTTGGAATGTGTGTTTCCCAGTTTTCTCTAATTTTACCCTCAGTCACCTTCCCACAGTTGGCAAACTCTGTCTGGATCCCCCCAGCAAGCTGCAACAAATCCACTCATTGTCTGCTTCTTTCTTTCCCAACAGGACTCAAAAGGCTGCAGTACGACAAAGGTAAGCACAGGGGAGACAATGGAGGTGAGTCCTCAGAGCCTGAGTGCAGCTCTGGAAAACACATCCAACCCCCTCTGAGGGCTGTTTGCGGAACACACTCAGATCAAGGATGGTTTGATGACTTGTTTCCCTGCCCTGTGCTGCCAAAGGCCCTGCCTGTGCCTGTCAGGAGCATCTCAGCTGTGGGAAGCAAGGACAGCACTGGCCACTGCAGCTCTCCCCGCCCTCCCACTCCTGCTTTGGCCTCTGTGGCCTTTCAGCAAAACAGTCTGGAGCTGATTTGGTTGCACTGCAGGAGCAGCTCACTGTTCTTTAATCCTGAATCAGTAATGGTTGGCTGTAAGTTATACAAACATTGTGTACCCTTACCACAAAAGCTGTGGCTGTGATACTGATAGGATAATGGGGGAAATGGAGTAAGTGTCACCAGGATTGGAAATTCTTTGGAAATGCAACTATATTGCTCCAAACTACCTTTCAAATTTCAGTGGATGAGGTACCTTCTTCCCCTTCTCCCATGGTTGCAGCAGTCATTGAGTGCAGCCAGAGCTGGGCTTGGATACAATTAAGAGCTAAACAAACATTGGTTTGGACTGCAGATTGAGTACATCTGTGATCAGTTGGGGGTTATTTCATTAATTCCCTCCCACTGAGGTAATAGATCCATTAGAAGCCATTGATTAGTTGCCAGAGCCAAAAGGGAAGGCTGTAGAGGGTGTTTCAGTTTGTTCAGGTCCCACGTTATCGTGACCAGTTTGTTCATTGATACCTCAGAATTGTTGCCATTTTGAACTCCCAATCCTGTTTCCAAGAGGTGATACCTCTTTTGACTCATCTTTGGGAGAGAGGGTTTGTTTATGCAGCCATGCTGCCTATCCTGTGCAAGAGGTTTTTCAGGAATGGTGAGCAAGCTGTTTGGATTGTGGGAACATTATTCTGCACAAACAGTTCAGCTCATTTTGAGAGACCTTGCTGGGTTAAGCAACATTTGGTTTTGACCTGTATTTTTGATTAAGTAGAGATCAATCTTATAGACATGAGGAGACAGTTCAGTGGAAGGCTGAGTTGTTGGAGATTGCATCCTCCAAGATGATGTCTCCTTTAATTCCCTTTAAAAAGGGAATGTGTTGATTTCCACTCTCATCTATGATGATCCACTCCTACCTATAAAGGCTGCTGTTACTGTGTAGAGCTGCTGCAGATAAACTTAGGCCAGGCCTAGTTAGGTCTGGCAGTACATGCCCCTCTATCCATGGCCACCCCATCATACACAAATTCCACAACTTGAGTTCGACAGTCAGGAAATCAAAGGATAGTTCTACACCCTGCTCTCCCCATTGACGCAATGCAAGCACAGGTTGTTTAAAAGGACAGTTGTACCAGCTATTGGTTTCTGATATCTGGGAGCAGGATTTCTAGTTGTTCTTTGGTTTGGTATAACCTGCCCAGTATGTTTAAATTTCAGCGAGGATTTTGTGGGTAGATTGCCCAGGACCCTACTTTTATTTCTTCCCAGGCATTGCTTGGAGTGCCAGTATTTCAGAAACAATGTGGTTTTCATGAGTTGTTCTAATTCCTTTGCCATCCATTTTCTCCCATTCTCTCTCATTCTTTAATATCCCTCATCTCCATGGACAACCACAACAGCAAGGTTCAGTCTGGCCTTTTCTTCATGTGGAATCCCAGCACTTCCAGTAAATTTCACATAAGTTTGGGATCATGGCCTACCTGTGTCTTGATTATCATTGTCAGGGCATAGAGGAACATCATAAATCCAACCTGTTGGTTTGTCCTGCTCAAAATACAGGTGTCCAGCTAGTCATGCAGAGCAACAATAGTGTTACAGCTCAGACTAATGACAGGAGTCCTTGTACACATTAAGGGTTGGTGTGAGTAATCCATCCATCCACATGGAGTTCATTCGACGTTTCTGGGAAAAAGAAAAGGAAGGAAATATGCTCAGTTGGAAATGCAATTGGTGATGTTATTAAAAAGAGGGTAAGGTCCACGGAGCACTGATTGGATGTATTTTTCTGGAGGGATCTCCAGCATCCCAAGCACAGAGACAGTTAGGAGTGTCTGCTACCACTGGCACTGCTCCAATTTGAGGTGTTTTCACTGAGACAGTGGGAAGGAAGATTACACTCAGGTACCCCTAGATACCAACCAGTAGAAATATTCAGGAAAATTTATTTCCAGAGGCCGAGAACACTAACTTTATGGCACTAAGCACAGGGCATGAGAAAACACGCTCCTATTTCCTCTCAGGGCCTTTCCAATGCTCGCATGTCCCCCCCTTGCAGGACCTTCCAGGTTGTCTGTAAGAATTTTATCTTTTCGGGGAGTTAACCTCTCCGTAAGGCAGGAGAAGAAAAAACACCAAAATATCTGTGGGAAGATGTCCTTTCCCAGGCAGCAAAGCTTTCTTCAGTGACATAAGCTTTCCTGACTGACATAAACCCTTGCCTCCTCGGATTAAATATTCCACAAAGACTCTTCTGTACTTACAGACACGTTTTGCAGCATAACACCCAGTAGGGTATTCCCCTGCTTCAATGTGGACCTTTGGCACAATCATGTGAGCCAAGGGCTTTCATTTTCAGCAGCCACCTCTGCTGCATCTGCTATTTAGTCGTCACAGGGCACGAGACAATCACAGATGCTAAGCAGGTTTATGAATTTTTGAAAATTGCTTGACTAGCCCACTGGTAAGTTCAACACCACCACTGGCTTGGGGCAGTTTGGAGTATGAAATACTCAGAGGATTTCTTCTTCCTTGGCCCAGACTTGCACCACTGCAGCTGTAAAGTGTGTCCCATTGTCACTTGGAATTTCCTGCGGAAGGGAGAGTACACTGAACCAGTCCTTCAAGGCCCTCTTATGTGTTTTCTCTGGTCACTGATACAAACCCAGTTGCCGCAGCGAAACCAGAGATACCTCCCACTCCTACCAGCACACGTGTTTTCCCATCTGATGATCGCAATAGACCAGTGCCATCAGTCTACCAAGTGTGACACGACGTTTTCTTATCCCAAATGCGCAGAGGAGGTGCCTTGCTGGGATGGTGCCTGTGAGTCACCATCGACATTATGAACAGACAGCACTATTTGCTGACACAGTGCAACTGATACAGGCCCTCCTCAGGTGAGGCCTTCCCGATATCAACCGGCTTGTCTGGTATGGCCCACTTTATGTGTCACCATTCGAGCAGGCTTTCCCGTGCTCAGTCATTGTTTATGAGTTCAATCTTTTTACCTGCCAGTCCTTGGCTGCCCAGTGGCCGATCCCCTCAGTGGCTCCTTTGTAAACAGCATCTGAGTCAGTGTCAATCTGGCCAGCGCCGTGTTGTGCAGGCGGCAGAACTGCTCCAAGTTCTCTGGCTTGTGCACTTCCTTTACCTGTTTCACTTAACCATTCTCCTGTGGCCACTTACAGAGCCACGACCTTATAATGCCCTTAATTGCCCTGTCTATAAGATGATATATGACTGAACCACACCCCTGTGAGACACCTGTCCTCTTGCAGTGCAAATGCCTCCCAAACTGGGGAGGGACATCCTTCCAGGGATGGCTTAAAATACCAGTGTACCATCTCTGTCCTTCTGCAGTTTGGATACTTGAACATTCTTTTCAGTGGCTGGCATAATTTCATTAACACCTTCCAGAGGAGCAATACAATTTACACACTGTAGGCTTCTGAGCAATCCCTGTGGACAGTGTTGTGTGTTTATGAACCACATCCAGAAGACCAAAGGGTCCCCGAACGACCACACTCTGACCTCTCTTTTCTTTGTTCTGCTTGTTTCACACTCACACCAGGGATAAGCAAACCCTTCTCAAGGTCTGAATACCCCATTTTGGTATCACTGAAAGAGTGAGCACTAAATTCTAGTGCTCTTTGTGGCCCTTCTTTGCGGTCCCTTCCGCCAAAGGTGTCAGTGAGAGCCGTGTTGGCTGAACCCCCATTCACAAGGATAGGGTCAGTGGGGTGGATAGGACCAGGCTCCTGGAATAGTTTCAGTCCTTTTATTAATAACTTCAGTGCATCTGTATGTTGTTCAGTCCATTCCCATGATATATCCTTTCTGAGCAGATTGCATAACCACAGGCAGGGATAGAAGAACAAGGAATATGTTTATGCCAATATCCCAAAGTTCCCACAACTTCCTGTAGCTCCTTTACACTGCCCAAGCTCTAATTTTTCCAGAGTATCTGACAGAACCAGAGAGAGTTCTTTAATCCACCAGACTCCTAAGAGTTTAACCTCTCGTTCCACTCCGTGGCATTTTGCTTCTGCAACTTCCAGTCCCTCTTTTTTCCAAATCTGTTTCCTTTGTAATTACGGCCATCTGAGCCCCTGCATCAATTAGAAATTCATCCCTAATCTTTTGATAAACTAGAGCATCATCCCTAATCTTTTGATGAACTAGAATATTAATTGAAGGTTTGGGGCATTCATTGGGGAACCACGGTGCTGCTATTACCCACCAGGCAGGGTGGCTCACTGCCCTCCCCAGGGATTTGAGGCTTCCTTTGAGGATTCTCCCAAATCAGTTAAGTACTGTCTCAGGGCAGAAGGTACACACTCATCTCGAGGCATAAGTTTTTCCTGCAGTTGTTCCTCCCACCGTTTTTCTTTATGCAATCAGGGATTGAACTTACTGATAGAGGGCATCCTTGGATCACCAGGAAACCAAAACTGAGGTACTTCCATCTCCCGAGCTGGCACAGGGCACCCTGCTCTTTATCAAATTTGGGTCTTTCCTTAGACCTTGTATTAAATTTGGACTTTAAAGTGTTAAGCTCATGGATGCCCTGTGAACAGTCTAGAGGCCTTTCTGCAGGTGAGTTAATGGTCCAGCCCATCGAGTGTCCGTAACCAACCATGTCTTGTACAGCCTCATCCCAAGTGGGAAGGGGTCTCGCTGGCTCTGTCTGTGACTGGTACTTCAGTTATTTTGCAACTGATCTCAAATATTTGCAACATACATCTTAAGACTTTCAGGGAGACCATGAATGAGAGGGGTTAACCGGGCTGGATCAGTGGGAGCTTCCCTTGGAGATCCTTGTGTAGATCTCTCTCACCCATCACCTGTGTGCTGCTGCCTTCTGCACTGACACAGCCAACTCAGAGCCTATTGTTTGAATGATCAGTGGATCCTCTCTCTCCTGAGGATCTACACACCCTCCCTGCACACTACTCATGATCTCTACTCATGATCTCCCAGAGTGGTAGTTAGAAATACTCCGGGTCCCCAAAAGCCTCTTACTTCCTCTCATTCAGGAAAACTCGGGCTCGTTCCAGAAGGGAAACTTTGTCCCACATTCAACTTTGGATTCCTCTGATCACCTTGAAAAATGTCCTTGTCATTTTAATAGGTCAGCTGGTATCCCAGCTGTACACACCAAAGTATGAATTTCATGATCACTGTCAACAGCAGTCTCAGTCTTAATTATTGGTCACAAGGAAACCATCCCAAATTTGGAATTGAGGGACCCCAAAATTTCTTCGTCGTCATCATCATCATCATCAATCATCATCATCATCATCATCATCATCATCATCATCACTGTCACTTCAGATATCCCAGTCCCAAGTCTCAAGATAAGATGGCAGTGTGGAGAGCTGCCTGATCAAAACAGGAACCTGTCTCTCCAGCAGCAGCTTCTCTTTGTACTCTGCTGCAGCAAGAAGAATTTTCAAGTGGTCGACCTCGATTTTAAGAGGATCACTATCAGTCATAAGTATATCAATCCAGATTCACAGTTTCTCTTGTGTCCCTATCAAAGGCTAATGATTACTTCAACCCCTCACTTTCTAATTTCAGAGCAGCACACTCTATGTCATAAATCCATCTGGAAGCAAAAGAACCTTTAGCATCTTTCTGTGCACAAAACAAACAGGCTCCTAAAACTGCACAAATGACAACTTTACCTTTTCCCTCTTTAGACTTTTCCTCAACCTGACATTGTTCAATACATTCCACCACTTTCTTTTCATCTTTCCAAAACTTTTGAGCCACTCCTTCCCAGCCTGGGAAAGGGGCACCTTTATATTTTTGCAGCACCCTGATCATGGCAGTCCTGCCAACTGTCCCAAATTTCTGCCACATGAAAGGGGATCTCCTCAAACCCTTTGTGTTTGATTGGTCCATCAGCACCCCAGAGGGAAGGTGAGACCCCTGTGCCCAAGCCATCTCTCAGTGTCCCACTATGGGGACTCCACTGAACCATCCGCTGGATCAGAGGGTGGTTTGACTGATGTGTCCAGGGACACATGTGGACAATACATGAGAGACCCCTCCATGTTCCCCACAATTTTAGTCATAAATGTTCTCCACTGCCAGTGACTGTCAGTGCTCGTGAAGGACTCGCAGTAGCAGTTCCTGGAATGACACTCTTTATTATCATTTTTTCTGATAATACGAAACTGCGACAGCTTAAGGCTTGAGCATTGCTGGTGACAGTGTCTGATTGCATATACAATTTGCAAGTGGTACCCATACAACTCTAATGCCCAGTGTAATTTCACTTGAGACAATCATTCGGTGCACACAGGATATGGTTCTACGGTACCTAATTTGTGTCCCTGTGGGTGAGAGACAGGCTCAGCCACTGACCACTCTCAGAAGTTACGATGGAGTCTTCTCTAATTTATCCCCATCCTTAATTCAGTTTTACACTGTTTGTTTTCATTTGAGTGGAGCTTTAGTAGCTCTAGTCCTGCATACCTTTGGTACTGATTTTGGTGAAATCCTCATGCATCACTCTTAATGACATAGTCAATAAAATTTGAAACACACGACCAGTAAGGGGAGAGGAGTAATCCTGGGGTGGAGGGGTGTGTTAGTATGACAGTGAGGTGATAATGAACCAAGTTCATCTGAGGAGAGCAATTGTGCCCCAGATGGTGGTTCAGGAGAAAGACATCTTCTCTCCCTCTGGGTTGCAAGCTGCTGTGAGGTTTATCAGCCACAAGATACCACCAAGTTCCCTTCCCTGCAGGGATTCCAGCAGAGCCTGGCCACAGGGTCTCCACTCTGCTCCACCCTCCCTTTCATTGCCCTTAGAATGTGCAGCGGAATGTGAATATCCAAGTTTTCTCTAATTTTTCCCCACATCTTCTCACAGTTAGTGACCTCTGTTTGAATCCCCCAGCAAGCTGCGACAAATCCACTCATTGTCTGCTTTTTTCTTTTCCAACAGAGTTCATGGAACAACTGATGTGGCCAGGTAAGCATAGGGGAGACAATGGAGGTGAGTCCTCAGAGCCTGAGTGCAGCTCTGGAAAACACATCCAACCCCCTTCAAGGGCTGTTTGCGGAACACGCTCAGATCAAGGGTGGTTTGATGACTTGTTTCCCTGCCCTGTGCTGCCAAAGGCCCTGCCTGTGCCTGTCAGGAGCATCTCAGCTGTGGGAAGCAAGGACAGCACTGGCCACTGCAGCTCTCCCCGCCCTCCCACTCCTGCTTTGGCCTCTGTGGCCTTTCAGCAAAAGAGTCTGGAGCTGATTTGGTTGCACTGCAGGAGCAGCTCACTGTTCTTTAATCCTGAATCAGTAATGGTTGGCTGTAAGTCATACACCAAAGCAACTGGTATTCCAATATTTGAAGCAATATCCTAGGATGGTGCTGTTCTTTAATTGAGGAGAAATTACGTAAAGTTTCAAAATCACCTTCTGACTTTGCGAAGGAGTTAATCCTGACACCCAAAACTAATTGCAGCTGCTGTCACCTCCTGGTCCTTTTGCTCAGGCCACCCCCCAGCAATGCAGAGGTGGAGGCAGAGGGTGTCCAGCCCCACAGGCTCCTCCTTGGAGCTGCCTGCTGGAGTCCCAGGAGCTCTGGCTGAGTGCCTGGCACTCAGGGTGTGCAGGCTGCCACTCTCTCAGCAGCCCAAGGAAGGGATGTGGCGGGAGGGAAGGGAGAGGCTCGAGGTGCCCTGAGGCTGCCAAGGACACCTGAGCCTGGAGGGGGGAAGGACAAATGAGAGGGGGATGAGGGCCCAGAAGAGAAAGGCTCAAAAAAGCAGAGCTTGTGTTTTCTGCTCCTCATTGCCTGACCTGACTATTGCAGAGAATATTGCCCTGGACGCTGACACAGCTCATCCCAGATTGGAAATATCTGCAAATGAGGATAGTGTGAAAGATACTGGTATCATCAGAGACTTGCCCAGGAACGAGAAGAGATTCGATTCCCATCTGTTTGTGTTGGCAAAGGAAGGATACACATCTGGGAAACACTACTGGGAAGTTGTTGTTGGGAGAAGAAGCAGTTGGGCCGTGGGTGTTGCCCGGGAATCTGTGACTCGCAAAGGGCCGTTGACTCTGTGCCCTAAGAACGGCTTCTGGGTCATAGGTCTGGCAGATGGGAAAGACTATTGGGCCTACACGGATCCTCAGACCCGTCTGAGTGTGAGTGGGAAGCTGAAATACATTGGGATCTTCCTGGACATCCCAGCCAGGCAGGTGTCTTTCTACAATACCCTTAAGGGACCAGATGCTCTGTACACTTTTAGCATTGCTGATGGCAGCAGCCAGGCAGATGAATTCATTCCCTTCTTCTCCCTAGGCCGTTATACTCTAATCCCTGATCCTAATCCTCTGCTACTACTGCCGTAGTTTTGTGATGATGAATAGTTCACTGTGCATTTCTAAGGTCAATAATGCACAGCCAGTGATGAAATCCCACTGTAATCAGGCTGTGCCTAATTTGTGTCTCCTGAACAAAGACAGTGAAGGAGAGGACAGGCCTGTCATAGTGGCCAGCTCTGAATTTTTTACATTATGGGTGAGAATGAAAAATATTTTGAGGGAAATTTTATGTACTCAAGAAAAATAAAATATTCTTTCATGATTGTATGAAGAAGCGCTTCTCGTGGATTCTGAATTTTCCTGAAAAATTACTCTTCTTTTAGTAATAATCCTAATAATCATTCATTTGTCATTTTATTAAGGAGGGAGAGTGGTACGGTGGCTTTGTGGACACTGGGAACAACCAGCCAGGGTCACACATCTCTGCAAGGCACTGGAATATCTCCGAGGATGGACTCCACAGCCTCTCTGGGTGACTGAAACCTGGGCTTGATCACACTCAAAGTCAGTGTTTCCTGATATTCAGAGGGACCCTCCCGTGTTTCAGTTTTTCCCATTGCCTTGTGTCCTGTGCCTGGCACCTCTGGGAAGAGCCTCCTTCATTTGTTGACAGACATTGCTGAGATCCCCCCAAGCCTTCTCCTCTCCAAGCTGAACAGTCCCTGCTCTCCCAGCCTTTCCTCACGGGAGAAATCCTCAGTCCCTAAATCATCCCTGTGGGCCTTCCCTGGACTCTCCCCAGCCTCTCTGTATCTCTTTTGTCTTGGGGAGCCCAGAACAGCAGTTGTGGCCTCGCCAGTGCTGAGCAGAAGGCAAAGATCCCCTGTCTCAACTTGTGGCCTCCTAATACTGCCTGGGGTACCACTATTCCTTTGTGGGAAGAGCAGGTTCCTCAGCTTGGAGCCCAGCACAGCCCTCAGGTCCTTTTCTGCCCAGATGTTTTGCAGCTGGATGTCCCCCAGCATGTGCTGGTGCCTGGCCTTGTTCCTGCCCACCTACAGGAATTTGCCCTTCTCCTTGCTGGCTTTGCAGAGGTTCCTGCCAGCCCCTTTTTCTCCAGCCTGTTCAGACTCTTCTGGATGGCAGCAGGACCCTCTGGCACATGAGCCACAGCTGCCAGTCTGGGATCATCATCCACCAGGCTGAGGGGACTCCCCACTCCACACCTGAGATCCCTAATGGAGATGTTAAAAAAAGGACACAGTGAGTATTGACCCCTGGACTACCCTACTAGATGTGTTCTCAGTTTCCCACTCATTCAGATGAAAGCATTCAAATGATGGGACTTCCAACATCAAACACTGTTGCAGCAGGCTTTTGGCGTATAAGAAAAAGCAGAAGTTTTAATGCTGTTTAAAGTGAACATGCTTCCAAAATGGCTTTGTAACTCTTTGTGTAAACTCACCTTTCTTCTTCCCAAGGTTCTTCAGTCTTATCTCTAGTTTAGAATGTCTAAGAGATAACTGAGAGCTTACCTATTAGTTGTTAATCCCTTATTGTAATTGGCTAGTTGTGAGACCTCCTGAACTCCCAGTGGTCATCTTGTAATCCCCCCAAGAGCTATTTAAGTCGCTACCCAGATCAGTAAACTCTCTCTCTGCCTTCTCTCCCTGCTGCTGCTGTCCTGTGGTCTCTGCAGGGCCCATGGGGGACCACGTGGTGGGGGGAAGGGGGAGGGAGCACTGCTCCCCTCCGGGACTAGAGGTAAAAGGAGAAGACCTCTATCTTGGAGTTTCCCTCCCTATCCCCCTTCGATGTTCTTCAAAACACATTCTCCAATGGTTTCCAACTGGACTGATGCTCCTTTTAGAAGAAAAAGCAGCCCAAACTCCCATACCTCCTGTCAGTGGAGGCAGCAGTCACTGACACCTCCTGTGTTCAAAGATGCTTAAAGGGACTAGGAGTAGCTTCTCATCGAAAAATAAAGTCTTCTGACTGTAAACAGGGAATAATGGTGGGAGATTATCCCAAGTCTAACACATATTTAGACGTAACAGGGATAGATATTTTAAATACATGCTGGTGGCCTGTTCAACATAATATGGGATACTACTGGCTTTGAGGAAACCAGGCTAGGAAAGCTCCACTGCCTGGATGGCAAGGAATAGGCACCATTGGATTTGTGGTACCTGAGGTAGATGTCATTGATAAATCGGAATTCCCCAGAGGACATCTACAGTCTTTTGATATGATAGGCCAGTCTCTTCGCGAACGAAGATCCGGGGAAGGTCTTTCCACCTTCCAGCCTGCGCATTGGATTTTTTAGGTGAGACACAGTGTGCATGGAACTGAGCCCACCCTTTAATCCTGAGGTTCATCTGCCGGGGCCAAGCACGCTTGGACGGTGGCAGCGAGGTCCTCAGGATGTAGATGGATTGCCTTACAGGGCTAACGAGCTCCATCTGCCCGGGGAGGGGCCCCGGCTGGGAATCGAACCTGGGCCTCGGCGGTGACAGCGCCGCGTCCTTAACCACTAGACCACCAGGGGTACAGCCTTTTATAACAAAACAGAAGTGAAATTTAAATCCCTTGGCTGAGAGGTCGTCTGGATTACACAAACTCATGAGAGGATTCTTGCCGTGGTTAGGTATACCAGAATTGGAGAAGGTTATAGTGAACATCTCTGGAGTTATTGAACAAATAGAACACTTAACAAAGAATGCAATTAGCACTTTGCAACAAGATATCACCAGCCTTTCAAAGGCAGTCAAACAGAACTGAATGGCTCTAGGTCTGCTTTTGGCTTCCAAAGGTGGTGTGTGCATGCTCATCAACACCTGTCGCTGTGTATGGGCAGATCAGACTTTGAGAATTCAAACTGTTTTGGAAGAAACTGGAAATAACACTGGAATCTAATGAAATACAAAACAATCAAAGGGAAGATATATTTTTTTTTTTTGTATGGCATCGTAGATTCCAAATTTAAGTGTGATCATAAGAAAACTGATCAGCATAATCGTCATTGCTGACATGATGATGGGTATATGGATGGTATTCCAAATTTTCAGAATAGGATGTAACAGGATGTGTAAATCTGGCAGAAAACATCTTTTCTGAAAAGGACTCAAAAGGATGACTGGCTACTCTAACTTCAGTTTGTTTACCTACTGTTAAGAACCTTGATCAGTATTATTTTAAGAGACTAGATGAGTTAAGAGGTTTTGATTGTTTTGATTAATATTTGTATATGTTTTGTCTCAATAGTTTTGCAGCGTGTATATTTAATTTTTCCACAAGCATTGCTCTGGAATGGTTGTGTCTTCTCTCTGGTTGCCAGAGTGGATAGAGAAGACTCCTCCCTGAATTTAGATGATTATGGAATCAGGTTTGTGTACCTCTTCCTACCTCCTCCAAGCAAAGGACCCTGACTGGAGCAAGACACTGAGTAGGGAGGAATGATTTGAGTTTTGTTACTCCTTTGATTTCTCTGAGGCAATGTCATAGGTTTGAAAAGAGACGTTGGAATTTTTTCCCCAGTGTTGTTGCCCGCCCTCATCTGTTTCTTCCAGGACGGGGGGGAGTCAGGAGGGGCAGATGGGCTTCTACACTTTTCACTTGAAGCCTCTTAATTTCAAAGTTGTAATCTTGTTAAACTGAGACAGGCAACCAGACTACTCTGTAGAAGAAGGTTTTTATTTGTTAATACTGAACTCAACCGAAGAACTCTATTAAGGAGCAGGAGTTAAGGGAGTTGCTGACCAACCTGTTGAACTCCTCCAGTCACTGACCCCAAAAGAGGGCCCATGAACTCTGCCCCAAATCCTGGTTTGCATCACATCTTTCCTATGATTTTGGTGCCGAAAAACCTCGGAATAGAAGAACTGCTCAGAGACTTCGCATCTTTAAGCAGCAAGGTATTTGTTTATTACAAGGGTGGGAGCAAGGCAGTTCTCACTGCACAAACTTGCTCTAATCAAAAGTACAAACCAAGCCATTTTATACATTTTAGGTACCCAGTTACACCTTCTAACATACATAATAATAAGTAGGCTGGTCTCTGGGTGGAGATTTTCCAGAATTTTCTTTGGTGCTTGAGCAGTCTTTCACTGGGGTAGTCGACATCGAGCCTTCATCCTCCTGGTGGTTGTCAGGGTTGTCTTCCTCGGGGTTGAACTTTTCAGCTTTTTGTTAGGTGACCTAGATTCTTCAAGCTTGCAAAATCCTGGCTCTGGGCCTCCTATATTTACTTCAGATGTCTAGTTTACCTAATTTATTACGTTGTGGTCTACTCCCTAGCATTCTTTCTATGATAAAATTTTGGTCCAGTAAACAGAATAGAACAAGACATTAACCAGCGCTCCTGCAATGTTCTTCTAGCAAGGCAGGCAGAACAAACATTAGACAATTACCTTCAGCAGAGCAAGGTATACCAGCTAAGACATCGTTAACTCCTTTTATGCCTTTCTGCAAACAATTTCAAGGCTCAAGGGGAACATCCTGATCTACACAAACTGGTAACATCATGGGCAGAATGATTTGTTTGGATTGGGCCACAGATAGTCTGGATTTCATGTTATCCCCTGTTATTATAATGCTGTTATTTTGCTGGCACTCATTAGATACAAACATATATATGAGTGTAGTACCTCACCCAACACAAGAGGATACCAACCGTTCCAAAATTACATGCACTGAGATAACAATGGTGGGTTTTTTCCCCAAAATCTATAATTAATTCTGTATGATGCTCCATTGAATATTGTTAACTATTAATATTTTTACAACAACTTGAAATTATTATAATATAGCCCACACCCTTTTAAAGTACCACAAAACTTGGGAGATTGATGGATCTCAACATACTCAGCGATAACGTGCACATGTACAGTGAATGAGTAATGGAGGGGACCGTGGCAGGATGTTCTACCCCGATAAGGCCTAGAATCTGATCAGAGAATGCAAACAATACAAGCTGTCATGCAAGTTCTTCCGCTGGTTCCAGGGTGCTCTTCTGGTGTTGAATTGTGCTAAAACCAGCCTGGTTCACCAAACCTCAAACACACATCCTGCTTTTTGAAGTAGCATTT